CTTTTTTCTATCTCTTTTAATTTTTGAGTTATCACCTATTATAGAGTTAAAAATGTAAAAATGAGGGATTTTTGTTTTTGCGTTGAGTTGGGTTGGTTCAACTGTTCGATGAGCGATAAATTTGAGTTGGAACTCTTTTCTAGATTAATTAGGAACATTTTTAGTACAAAAAGCTTTCTCCACCTCCTTTAATTTTCGATATATATCCCCAAACCCATTAAGAAAGTGTAAAATTGGATAATTTTTGCTTTTAAACCCTATTGAGTTGGTAAAACTGGTTAAGGAAATATTATTCTTAATCAAAAAAATTTTCTGGGTTAATAAGGAATGTTTTTGTTCCCTAAACCTTTTTTCTATCTCTTTTAATTTTTGAGTTATCACCTATTATAGAGTTAAAAATGTAAAAATGAGGGATTTTTGTTTTTGCGAAACATTTTTAGTACAAAAAGCTTCCTCTCAAAAGGCTTAATTTTGAGTTGAGGCGCTAATTATTAATTTTATTATTTATTTATCACAGTAGTATAATAACCTTAATAATAGATGATACAACAAAATTAGTAAACAATAAAGTACCTTTTCTTATATATACGTATTCTTATATACAAAGAGTATGAATAAAATTAGAAAACGAAACGCTTTTTAAAAAATCTTCCCCTAAAAGTACCCAATGTTTAGTTTATTATTGTTGGACGTTATTTTGTTGGCCATCCAATAAACGATTCTCCTCCTCCCTCGTTGTCCATGCTCTATTACACGTGATATAAATTCCTGCTAAAGCTCCCAATAAAGCAATACCAACCAATGCTCCCCCAGTGTAAAGCATCACTGAAGGGAGTGTAAGTAACATTTTTGCTTCTTTTGCTAAAGGTTTTGATAACAAAGCTGTTTGAGTGAAATAAACCATGGGCATAAAGGTTTTTTTCACCTTTTTAAACATCCTTAACAAAAAAAATTAATTTCCAATAAATAATTTTTGAGATAGACTTACGAAATTCCACTTATTGGTTGTATTAGAAGATTTAATTGTAACGCCGCTCTAGCTTCTAATGGCACTCCCGTATTTGGCTCTAAAATTATATAAAATTCGTGCGCTGTTTTGTTTGGGTGCATTCCATCCACTGAATTTGCATAAAATGGATCTGCTAAGTAAAAATGTGGATATGAAACGAAAGCTGGAGCTCCAAATCTATATAAAAAACATAAACACTTTTTGAATATATTTGAAAATTAATGAACATTTCTTAGACTTACTTGCATTTTGATATATCTCTGACGCCACTTGGATAGGTTTGATCTGTAATAAAGCATTTTTGTTCTGGATATTTAGTACCATTATCAAAATCAAAATCCGTAGCGGCATATTTTTTACCGCGAATTCCAAAAAATTCTTTATATGAGTCTTGAAATTGTAATCTAACAGAGCTAAATTTAAAAAAAAATTAGTTAAACTAATTTTGAAATAAAATTATTAATTACCTGCAAAGATCTGGTGCAAAAATATCGACTAAATCGTATTTTTCCACCGGAGGCCATAATTCTCCTGATGTACCATTAACGAAAGCGCAATAATCGTTAAAATATGGACTATACGGTTTTCCATTCCATTCGTTTATAATTCCCAATAATTCAATGTCATTTGAGCCGGTGAACATTGTAAAATTTCCATCGTAAGTTTCCGAATTATTTCTCTACATAATTTTATTTATTATTTTCAAAAATATTGAAATAAATCAAATTTCTTACCCCAAAAAACCATCCAAAACGATCACTAGTGACTGAACTAAAAATTGGCAAATTCAACGATGCTATCAATTCTAACAGGCTATCTTTATAACCTGTAAACAACCACTCATCCACTGTTTTGGTTAAAATTAATGATTTCTCTTTCAGTCCTAATAAAAAACTTAATATTTTTTTAACTGGGTAACCTTGTTTTCTTACTAAATAACTTGCAGCCTTAAAAAAATCAATAAAAGTTAATACTCAATATGGTAAAACCTCGATATAACGCAGAGGTTCTCAAACTAATTTCTTGTACCTTGAGAATCAAATATTTATCAATAAAACGCAACTTTTGAAACATTATTTAGCAAAACAATTTTAGGAGAAAATGTTAAGAGACAAAAAGTTGCGTATTGAATCCCTCTATTTAAATCAAATTTTTAAATAGAAAAATGTAGACGCTTTAAAAAGTTCTGATGCAAAGATTTTTCAGCACCTTGTCCTCAGACGCGTTTCAACATCTTTTTTCTCAATATTTTTCCAATCCAACCCAACAATTATTATACATCATTCTAAAGAGAAAGCTTTGAGCATTAATTTAGAACAAGTCTCATTCGTTAATTTCAATAAATACGGCTTCCAGGAATTTTTAAATTAGCATCTTTTTTGACACTTTTAGGTTATACGAAAATGTAAGGTTTGTTTCACCATTTTTTTTCTCAATATTTTTCCAATCCAACCCAACAATTATTATACATCATTTTAAAGAGAAAGCTTTGAGCTTTAATTTAGAACAAGTCTCATTCCTTAATTTCAATAAATACGGCTTCCAGAAATTTTTAAATTAGCATCTTTTTGACACTTTTAGGTTATAAGAAAATGTAAGGTTTCTTTCAATATCTTTTTTCTCAATATTTTTCCAATCCAACCCAACAATTATTATACATCATTCTAAACAGAAAGCTTTGAGCATTAATTTAGAACAAGTCTCATTCCTTAATTTCAATAATTACGGCTTCCAGGAATTTTTAAATTAGCATCTTTTTTGACACTTTTAGGTTATAAGAAAATGTAAGTTTT